CTACTCATGTGACATTCTACGATAATTTCTGCTTAAGAACACGATCATTTACATCGACTCTTAATCATATTGTCTCTCTGCAACAACTTACAAAAATAGACATTGATACCAATCGTTTTTCCTTTCAAAAATTTTGTGAATTGTTACAATTTGCACCAAATGTCGATACATTAATGATTAAATCCGAAATTCTTAAAGGAGCATATTCTGAATTAATGCGACAGAGTGAAATATTTCGATTAGTATCCAATAGAAATATTATTAAACACATCACTATTAAAGACAAATATACATTGAAAAAGATCGAAATTCTTCTTAGTTTATGTCCTCGACTACAGTCTCTAACAAGCGATGCACATGTATTTTGGCATGATTTTGAACCTATCATTCGATATTTATTGTCAAAAACTAGTGAAAATGTACGTCATTTATCTGTATTGTGTGTTTCAAATGCGTGTCCAGCATTGTTTGAGAGATTGAAGAGTTTAATCGAATCAGAAAAATTAATTGATGATTATTCGACCAAACATGTTAATTCTAAATTGTATTTATGGTTCTAATATTTAATTCATCATCAAATATACAGGATTTATATTATTATACCAAAAATATTTTTCTCAATCATGATTTTCAAGAACATCATATTATTTCAAAGCTGGTTATGCATCTAAAAACACAATCACTCGAATTTAGTTGTCTTAAATTTAATATACCGGTTTGCCTTGTTGATTATTTCATTGATGCTTGTGAAATAGGGATTGGTTAATTGAATATGATAATAATTTTCATCTAGTCCCTCATTAAAGATTTCTTAATTAGTATTTCTAAAATTCGAATCGAAAACTATGAATCTTCAAGATAGACAACCCAACGCTCAATCTTATTGTATTAGGTTACAATTAGCAATATTTCTTGTTTTTTTTTAATATCAAGAGCACTCAATTATCTCGTGAAGTACACATCATTCAATAGAACATTCTGTGACATGTTCGGAACTTTTCCAAACAATCTATAGCCTCTATTCAATGCTACCAGCAACGATTCTTAAAAATACCTCCGTGCTACGCCTCATTGTTTTGAACATTCGCTTTATTATTGAGCTAACAAAGAATAATGTCGTTTTTGGTGCAATCTTTATCCGACGTTTCTTCATAATAAGTGCTACAGAACAGAAATCGAACCTGCATCTTTCAATAATCGGTCAGAATATATTTTTATTTTCAAGGTATACATAGAAAGTAAATGTTTTTAGTTGTTCCTCAAAATTTATTTTCTTCTTCGATCATCGCAATCAGTATCTAATTATTTATTTAACGATTAAGTTCTGAGGAATTGGACAAACAACATTTTTACCATAAATTGAGAAAGCGAACTTAAATAATGTCATTCGATATTCTCTTCAGTTGTTGTTAATGTCTACAAGCGAGTATAGAAGATCAATATTATTGAGATTGTTCAATATGATTAGTACAATTTCATAAGACACGTCGCGCAGTTAAACGGCTGAAAGGGGCATGATTGACCCAGTTCCATATTTTCTCTTCTTTCCATTTTTATGTAACATATCCTTATGTTTTTCAAAAACAACAATACATAGAGTAATTGAAATATTTAGCCTCTGACAAATATTTGGGAATCGAATGAAAAAACTCGACATTAATTTTTGCACATAATACATGCCTTCAGATGACAGTAATATACAAAATATTCCAAATGGGTGTGGGTGTGAGTCAAGAGAAGAATTATATCCACACACCAACACCCACACCTGCACACTGCATTAATTGCTTCATCAGTTGCACCACTTCCTCGTAAACGATTTAATGCAACTGTTCAAAGTATAGCAGTAGCAATGATGAGTACATTCATATTTTAAAATTTATTTTTGAAAAGTTCTTTATTAATTATTAAACCTTATATAATCTTGCTGATGGTGAAAGTACACTTACAACGGAACATCCTCAGCAGAAGCTTCGCGTTTGACGTGATATTTTGCCCATATGTCGACCCTAGTGAGACTAGAAAAACTCTAAAAGGATTTGGATTTCTGGCTTTTTCTTCTTGAGTTAGAACTGTTCTAGCAAAATTTTGGCCTTATGCTAGGTATTTTCGAAGAATCTCACTTTGAGGATTTGGACCTGAAATTTTGCCGGCAGATAGGTCTTATAGGCACGAGATTATGCTGAATGTTTCAATAAAAGAAAATGTGTCTTTCTCGAGATATTGAATTTACAAGAAACTCAATTATTGTATCTTTCCTATGACATCTGCCGACTTTTTGCTATTTCAATATCTCGAGAAGGACACCTTCGTTTTTGCTGAAACTTTCATGATAATCTAGTGTCTATAAAACCTATCTGCCGACAAAATTTTAGGTCAAAATTCTCAAGGTGAGATTTTTCGAAAATACCTAGCATAAGGTCAAAATTTCGCCAAAACAGTTCTAACTCAAGAAGAAAGAGCCAGAAACCCAAATCTTTTAAAAGTTTTTCTAGTCTGACTAAGGCCTACACATAGGCAAAATATCACGTCAAACGCGAAGTTTCCGTTGGAGATGTTCCATAGTTAGTTCAAGAACAGTGGCTACAGCTACAAAGTCCATTTCTGAAACAACACAAAATAGTTATTTATATAATAAAGATGTTTTCTGTTCCATTCTTAATCTTATTTAAGTGTTAGGATTTAATCAGACGATGACGCCACTGATAAAGTTATGTGAAGAAGCAAATTAATTGATAAAAGAAATGTTGAAACAAACGATAGAACAAACATGTCTAATCAATGAATTGTTTAATTTTCCCCGTGAATTACAAATAACAACTGAAAAATTATCTCATATTGTTCATATGGTAAGCAGACATTATAAGTTGTTACAATTTTTTCTATTTTTTTCATCGTTTCAGCAAGCTAAAGTATTACAAACATGACAGCAAAATGATGATGAGGATCTAATAATTGTGAGTGAAAATTTTATGCAAAAAACTATGCTCAATTATCCTTTATTATGTTCTGCAAAGTCGATGCCGCATAAAAATCTTAGGCATTGCAGTATCTTTGACTATGAAAAGAATCTTTTGAACTGTTATCATCTCTTTTTCTGTTTTTAGGAATTACATGGAATCAATTCAGGTCATATCTCACGTGGTTCTTCATTGAATGTGACAGCTAGATGTTTAGGTTGTGCTGCATACGGTAAAACAGCATCATTCAACGATTTGACTCCAGGAGAATTTGATTTTCTTCTGGGTAAGATTAATAAAAAAGTTCAATGATCATTTTAGTATTTCAAATCTATATTTTCAGGTTTTATTGCTCGAACTCATCAATTGAATGTTGCATCTGTCTTTGCAGACAGTCAATCAATCAAGAAGTCTTTACAACAAATGAAGCACGACGTCAACAAGAAAAATTCCTCGATTAGATCATCCATTACTTTATCAAAGCGAGGAACTTCAACAACTGTTCAATTATCGTCATTATTGAATAACGACGAAAATGATGAAGACGACGAACTTCGAAATACAGCTTTTTGCTGCTCGTTTTTCCTTTATTTTGTTGAACCCTTTTCTCTTTATATGAAATTGATGTATATTTTTTATTACTTGCCGTTTACTTTTTTGTGTATTTTATTTGAAACTTATAATAAAAATATAATCGTAACGAAGGGAGATTATCATATTGGTGTAAAAACAAGCCTCATTTGTATCACAAGAATCTTGCCAGAAGGTCCAGATCTGTTTTTGCAGGCAAGAATCTTGTGTAGAAAGAACGGCAAAAGAATCTTGATTGATGACCAAGGAAATCAAGAATCTGGAAAGATTGATTGCAAGATCATCGACCAATGTTCATACTGCTATCAATATCGTTTCTTTGATCGAAAAAGTGCTCGTATAGTCGACTCGTCGTTCACATCAAATTAAATTATCGTATATTACAACGGTTACATATTTCGACATCAACATCACCATTCATCCACTCGATCTAATCTTTCAGCTTCTAATCCGTCTACAACTTATTCCACTTCAGTTATAACAGTTCTTGATGTTCTAAAGGTCTCATGAGCTTATACTAAGTAACTCTACACTGGAACGCTTTTTATTTTCACTTCATTTATCACGACCCATTATTCTTTTCTTTCTCTTTTTCATTGTGTTGATGCATACATTTTTTTCTCTTTCGATTTAAACATCGTATTGATTTTTTCTTGTTTTCGTTTATCATGATGGTGTGCCATCCAATTTTCTTTAAGCTTTTATTCGATCATTTTTTCACTTATTATTTTCTTCATATCAGCATCCTGACAATTTTTTTCTCTTATTCTTTTTGATTTTTTTCTTCTTATTTTTGTATCTTCTAATGTGTGTGCACACACATTTCCGTCGATGGGGAGGCATGTTACATGCATATATCTTATATGCCTTCACACATTCAGTTCTTATCGGCATCTGTTTTGTTCTCTTCAATTCTTTGATTCTTTTTTAACGAGTATTCTTCTTGCATCATTCGAGGAGAAAATGAACATAAAGAAGGAATGAAAAGAGAGATACTCTAATACCATTCATGAAATGTTCGGATCCTGACCTAAGATATCCTACGGAAATAAATAAAATATCATGAAGATGAGGTCAAAACTCAGTATTTTGACCCAAACCCTTTTTGTTTGTCCGATGACCCCCTTGCAAATATCACCATTCGATAGAGCATAGAATTCTACATCCATCACTACCAATTAGAGAGACACCACAAGCCTATAAGAGAATATCGGCAAGGATCACTGCAAAAATCAGGTGAAAAACCCAGTATTTTGATCCAATTCCCTTTTTGTCCTATAACCCCCTCAGAAAGACCACCATTGCATAAAGAGTTAAATTCTGCATCCATCACAACCAATTAGAGAGCCATCATAAGTCTATGAGCGACTATCAGTAAGAAACACCCGAATTCGCTGATAACTTTACTTACGTTTTTATTTCTTTTAGTTTTCTCGTTTCGTTTAACTGATGACAAATAACAAACAACGAAACCGTCGCCCACAGGAGATTGAACGAAATCTTGAAGATGTGACATTAATCTTATGTGATCCAAATATTGATGATTCATTGGATTCACGAAACATAGAAACATTGCTTAGAAAAATAAACAACCATGTTGAATATTATACGGATCCACAGTTGTGTCTTGACTATATTCGATCCATTAATGATGAGAAAATATTTCTTATCCTATCAGATGCATTTGAAAAACAAGTTTTGCCTGAAATATGTTCGTTTTCTGCAATCAATTCAGTATTCGTTTTTTGTACACAACATCAAGCATTGAAGTTTGATGAATATCCGAAATATGTCGAATTTTTTGCTGATCAATCAGTAATGTTGAAATCACTTAAATCAAGAATTGATTTAACAATCAAACAGACAATGACATTTAATCTATTTGATAATAAAAAACAAAAAACTGTTCGTAATTTATCTAAAGAATCTGCGTCATTTCTGGGATTTCAACTTTTAATGGATGTTTTAAAACAAATGCCACAAACTGATCAATCGTTTCATGAGATGCTAGAAAAATGTTCAGATTATTATCAATCAAATATAAGTGAACTTAGAATGATTGAAGAATTTCGAATGACATATACAATCTATAGAGCTATTGAATGGTATACAGCTAATTCATTTGTCTATCGATTAGTTAACAAAGCACTGCGAACAGAAGATATTGAACTTCTCTATTTATTTAGATCGTATATTATTGATCTTTGCTCACAATTAGAACAAGAACATAAACAAATTTCTTCTACAGAAGTGTTTATAGTATATCGTGGACAGACAATGTTTACAGAAGAATTTGAAAAATTAAAACAAAGCTGTGGAGTTCTAATATCAACAAATGGATTCTTTTCAACTTCAAGAGATCTCAATGTAGCATTAAGTTTCATTGCTGGTAGTTATAATACAGATCAAAAGAGATTAATTCTATTTGAAATAACAGTTGATCCTCAACTTAAATCAGTTATATTTGCTGATACTGAAAAATATAGCCGTATGAAAGATGAAAAAGAGGTTTTATTCAGTGTAGGTGCTGTTTTTATTATGACACAAATACAATATGATGCACTGATGAATTTATGGAAAATTCAAATGAAAGCTACTGATGACGGTTGGAAGCAAGTTGATGAATATTTGATAACAATCAGAAAACAAATGGAAGAAGAATATAGTCCAACCATCTTATTTGGTTGCCTTCTTTGGCGAGATATCGGAGAAATTAATAGAGCAGAAAAGTATTTTAAAACATTACTAAAATCTTTGCCAAATGATCATGCAGATATACCATCACTTTATCATCAAATGGGGAATGTATATTACGCAAAAAATGATTTCGATACGGCATTAGATTATTATACACTAGGATATAACTTGCGTTGTCAATATTTACCTTCTGATCATTATCAGATTGCTGCATCCTTAAATAATCTTGGTATAGTTTATGAAGACAAACAAAACTATGATCAAGCTTTAGAATATTGTAAACAAGCGTTAGCTATTTATGAAAAAAACTATCCAGGTGATCATTTGAATAAAGCAAAGGTAATGATGAATCATGGTGTTGTTCTTCGAAGAAAGAAAGATTATGATAACGCATTGGAATATTTAACAAAATCTCTCGAAATGCATAAACATGTCTTACCTGAATACCATCATTCTATTGCTCGATGTTTATGTAACATTGGTGCTGTATACGAAGATCAATTGAAATTCGATCAAGCACTTGAATATCATCATAAAACTTATGAAATGAATGAAAAAATATTACCGAGTGATCATATTTATCTTACGAAAGATCTCGATGGAATTGTCGATCTTTATAAGAAAAAAGGTGAATATGAAAAAGCTATAAATTTTTGTCAAAAGAAATTAGATGAACAGCAAAATAATCTATCAGAAAATCATCCACGAATTGGACATACACTAAAAACTATCGGTGATATTTACAATGAAAAGAATAGTCATTATGCATTTGAATATTATCAAAAAGCATTAAAAATATTTGAAAATTGCATACCACCTAATGAAGAAGCTATGATTGATTGCTTAGAACATATCAGCAATTTGTACTATAATCAAGGTCTTTATGATGATGTACTCATTTATAGAAAGAAATTGTTTGTTATACAAGAAAAGCTTCTTTCATCGCAACATTCTGCCATTGCGATTTCATTACAATGGTTTGGTAAACTTTATTATGATATAAAGAACTATATACAAGCACTTGATTATTTCAAAAAAGCACTTCAAATTTACCTAGAAAATTATACTGCCGAACAGGAAAAAATCAAAGAAATACAACAGTATATTGATAATATTAAGAACAAATTAAATTAAATAATCGAAGTATGTACATTAATTTTTCCACTATAAAAATAAACAAATAAGATAACTTATTTAAAGTTAATCAATTCAAAAATGAAGTCAGAAAGTTTGATCTTATCATGTTTTTTTTTGAGTTATCAGCTTTTCGTTTCGAAAAATCTATGAGAAAATGATTCTATTTTGAATGACCGTAATTGCTTTGTTATTTTATTCGACTTTTGATAAATATTATACAATCTTATCTGCGCACAAACACAAACAATTGTATTATTCATTAACAAGCCAAAGAGTGTTCTTCGGTTCTATTAGCTTAGAGCTGATAACACAGGTATACACTGTAATAAGATGTATGCTGAAGACATCGTAGCAATAAAAATACAACACATAACCAATTACTAGAATTCTATTCTGTGTGATTAAATAAAATGTTTTTTTTTATAAATACGAGGGTGTGGGTGTAGGTGGGTGTGGATGTGGGTGGGTGTGAGTGTGTGGTGTGTATCCACTCTCCAGGCACCCATTATCTATACCCCACATCCACACCCCACCCAGTGAGTGAGAACTGGTGAATGTAGACTCAGGCATATCTATTGCTCACGCACACACAAACCCCTGATGATTCCGAACCCGTGTCATATTATTTGTCAAATTTTATCAATCAACTTGGTATATTTGGTGATATTATTGGATCATCATCATATGTTATATGCATATAGCGTGACCGATATTGTAATTCTGTTTTTCTTTCTTTTCTTTCGTTTCCATTGTATACTGCAGGTACTGCCGATATATTCAATTTCATGTGTTAAAGGATACATATAACGACAAATGTTTTCCTGCTAGCCTCTGAAGCCAAATAGGTTTTATAGATTTGGATTGGTTTTTATTCATTAATGGTATCGGCTATTTATAGTGTAGAAATACACGTACATTATACCATTGAATATGAAGAAAGCCAACGATGAAACTATTTTACATTTTTCTTTGTCATGTACATTTAGGCGACATCTTGTAAATGGTTCAAATGCAAGATCAGAGAGTGTACACAACATTTTTGGCTCTACAAGGAAAAAATAAACAACTTTCTTGATTAGAGGAAGAATGTCACACTCTTGACATCCCTTCCTCGGTCGCGCCATCCGTATCCAACTGAAAAGAGAAAAACAATCGGAACTGATCACACTTGTGCAGTAGTCAAGGATTATCTTGATGAAGAGATGGTACTCAATGTTATGGAAATGAATGAGGAGCAATCAAGCATTAAATTATCCGTGAATATAATTGATAATTATGGATTTATATATAGGTATATAGATGATTTAAGTGTATCATGTTGACCATCAACGGCACAATTAATGAAAAATTAGCGAAATACTTAAATACACTATTTATTATAATTAATCATGACACATTAATAGAAGTCTCTGCTGACGACATTGTTGCTAAATATGAAGATGACAGTTAGTTAAATTAAAATACTTTTATGATATTTTAATTATTGTTATCAAGTGAAAATACAATAACTATATAAATATATTTATATAAGGAAATCTTTGACATTGTCCTCACATTCTGTGGAAGGAAAACGAATCTTCAAGAGTATGAGTGCGGTCTTCTATTCTCTTGCAAGCACATCTATACCGGTACCCTTTAAGTGATCCGAAGATTGTTATTAACGCTCGATTAATGGGCAAATATTAATCAATATAAAGCAGCAAGATCAGAAAAGAAATATATTTTGAAACATTGTGTGATCGGTTGTTAGAAAACTTTATTTTGCATAGATTAATAAATATTATTGATAAAATATTTGTATCACTATTTGAAAAAATCATGGATGGTAACTAGCTACAAAAGTTGATGCTGCGATTATATGGAAAAAGCTTGCACAAGCGACAAACTCGAGTTAAATCGACGGTCAAAAGTGCAAGATAACACCCAAGGAATGAGTAAAGACATCATGAATTCAGGAAAAATATCTCAGGTCCGAGCAACATGAATAGGCCACATTTCGAACATACCACCGGGCATAACAACCGATCCATTGGACGTGTACATGAGACCTTCAAAAGTGTTCTTTTCTTTGCTCCAAGTCATGGAGCATTGGCATTGATGACCCTGGTTCAAATGCGGATTGCCAGTTCCCCACTATAAACAGAAACAGAAAAGTAAGTTCAGATTTCCGAAAAAGTCATTTTTTTGACATATCCGGTTCTGGACTAAAACAACCACAAAGAGTACCAGATGTAGTTTTGAAGATGAACAGACATTATTATGAAGTTTCGTCTCGAACCAGAAAATATAAAGCCCACTAGAATAGTTTTAAATACGATCTAAATATATGGTTCAAGTCTGTACAAGAGACAGAGATGAGAATGGAAGGTCTACTCATAAATTTCGAGACATTTTCTATTAATTTTCAAAAATCGTTTTCCTGTTGAGAAAATCTCAAAATATCCTCTTTAGAAAAAACGAATACTATTGGAAGCAATGGCAAACTTGCTCATATGCACAATAAACACTTGTACCTTGTATGTTTGAATTATCGTAATCTGCAGCGTGGGTCTCGAATAGGACCCACTCAACACGAATTCGCCCACATCATCGCTGCCATGACCTTTGAATTTATTCATATGCGATTCGAAAATCATCCAATGTTGAAATGGCCCATGCCAGGTTTCATACAGATTGTAACGATTCAACCACGTACCACTTACGAAAATATGATCTAAAACATTCGGCTGTGGAAATGATAATGGAGCAAAAGCTAGAAAAATGAAGAAATAGTTTGGAAATATTTTGCTTATGAAAATATTCAATATAACTTGCATAGAATCATTAGTTGTTCGTTAAGCTTCCCTACTGGCAGAGTAGCAATATTACTCAGTACAATTAGATACAAAAAGCAATAGGCAACAGTAAGTGTCTTTTGCACAAGCTGTATCTTGAAAAATAGTTTATATCAACCAGTCGACTTGTTCTCAAATGAAAATAGCTGATCGTGAAACAGTGGTCAGTATTAGGTTACACCGTCATGTCTCCCTAGTCTCAATCCTGGTCATTTCTTGAGAAATCCTGGAAGGGTCTTTCAGAATCCTCAATCTCAAAGATCTTGCCAAGTTTTATGCAAGATCCTGTTTCAAATCTTAGAAACTCCTGTTTGCAGGATTTTTCAGGGTGAAACAGGATCCTGTTCAGGATTTCTTCAATTACCTGTTCAGATAATATTCTAAGATAAGAATTCAGGGTCCTACCAGGATTTACTCAAGATCGTATACAGTATCCTGTCAGGAGTGATGGTCCATCAGACTAGGATCTTAGCAAGAAATTAACAAGATCAGCCGGAATACGGAATTGGCTAATGCTGGAAAGCTTCAATCAGGATCTGACTAAGAAAATGTAAGGATTTAGTAAAGATCTTTTCAAGTTACTGTTTAGTCAACTCAGCAGTGTTCACTTCTTGAGAAAGCCTAGAAGGATCTTTTAGGATCTTATATTTCAAGAATCCGGCTCAGTTTTATTCAGGATTGTATTCCGGAATTTTTCAAGTTTAGTTTGAACTTTTTTCTTAACTGAGTTTTTAGCATCCTGCTAATATTAACTGTGAATCCTATCCAGAAACCTGATAAAAAACATAGCGAGAATTTCGTGAAGATATCAATAGATTTTAGTCAAGATCTGTTCAGGATCCTAATACGAGAATCTTGTCAAGAGGTATCGTTATATCAGAGAAGGATCATCGCAGGAATAAAACAAGACTAGTCAAAGTTCTGAACTAAGAAATGCTGCTGGACTTCGATCAGGATCCTGAGTAGAACTGTTCAAGAACAGACATTTCGAATGCTTTAAAAAATTATAAATATGATCAGGATCTTGATAAGAAACATACAAGAACCAAGTTAAGATCTTTTCAGGTTTATGTTTAGAGACTATTCAAAATTTAATTATCAGGATCCTGTTAGGAACTAAGCAAGAATAAATGAAACGGTTCTCTTATTTTTTCAGCTAGGTGTAGATCAGAATCTGTTGAAGATTTCTAAATTGGTAGAAAAGAAAATTTCAAAATCAGTCTGAAATAAAATCTCAGCAGCAATAAAAACAAAGATTTTTCAAGATCTAATCGTGTTTTTGTTCGAAACATGAAAATTTTCTATAAACTGAATAATCGACTAACATTTTTATCTTGACCTTTGTTTGGTTCTTTTCATAAAGAAATACAATGAATCTTAATAATCTTAGAATTTTCTTTTAATCTCTTTAAAATGTATATAAATCTTGCTGTGAGACTCAGACAAGAGCAATAAGCTTTTTTGTTTAATTTTATCAAGACAATTGAAAGTCATTAAATTATGTGCTAATTTGAATTTAGTTATCGTAAATTTTTTCATTAAATAGATAGTTTTTGTCAGCAGAAAATCCTTTGATGAAAATGACTTATAGTTTTAATTGTGTAGAAGAAAAATTTTAAAAATATTTTTCCAATAGAAGCGGAATTTTAAAACAATATTAAATTTCATCAACTAAAATAAATGTGAAAAATGATATCTCATTTTTGGAATTTTTTTTTGAGGCAATTAGTACTCATAACAAAATTTAAATAGAAGCTTACATTAAAGCTAGAAGTTAAGATATTCAACGTTAAAGTGATATAGAATGACATGGCACATCCAGCTCGGTAAGCTGATCGGTATGCAAACTGAAGGTCTAGAGATCGATACTCTATGTGTTCATTTATCTTCTGTTCTATTTAGAAAATCCTGCAAAGATCCTGCCAAGAAATTGATGACATTCTGAAGGAAACTTAGCTCAATCCTACAAAGATCCTGTCAAGATATTCGATAACATCTTCGAGAATACCTAGTAAAATCCTGAAAGATATTGTCAGAAATCTTTTTTCTCCAACTTTGAAGTATTGAAATCCTCTCAGGATCCTGACATTTAGTGGCTACACGCTTCTTTCAGGATTAAGCCATTTCCTCAGGAAAACACTGCGACTCCTAGCAGGATTCTGACCATATCTGCAAGGATCTGGCCCTGAAACATCAAAGATTTGGCATTGGACTTCTTCTCTTATCACTGGTAAACACTGATAACATGTGCAAAACTTCCTAGTTTTACTAGGCATGAAAAAGAAACATGTAAACGATATGCTTGTAAATCATACAGGGCTAGCACGAAGGGTCTCCGATCGTGAATGCAGCAGGATAGAACAGAGAGCAAATAATTTTCTCAGAAATTACAGCATAGCGCAAGAAAAATCTTCCGACTCCGCTGTACAAAAGGGAAAACTTTTCACGATTGAAGGCTGCGCCCCACCACCATCTTCATCTCCGATCTCATCATTCGTACTCTCACTCAAAAATAATTATGATGCAACAGAATGGGTAAGTTCATTGCAAGTGGTTCATAGTATTTAATTTACTGTTCTTCTTACTGAAGTGAGTAAGCATGGAATTATGCGAGTTAAGCAGCTTGCGCAACGCAAGCAAAATGAAAGTCTAACAATCTGGGTAAGCACTTTGACAATTATTGATGCAGTGGTAACTCATTCATTGCAGGTTTTTCTAGAATACTGTTAGTATTTTTCTGTGGAAACAGATTCGATCTGTTTCTGACATCTATCAGCAGTAGTAATTCTAACTTGCACTGCTATGCTGGTTAATTCTATACAAGTGTATAACAGAAGAAAACGCTATTTCCGATACAACTTCCCCGATCAATTTCTAGCGTACATGTTTCCAGGATGAAAGATTTGAAAATATTTTTTTCAAAGTATACACAGCGATGTCGATCACTATCAGTGTAACTGAACTGATTAGCGAGCAACAAGTGGTACTCAATTTCGAAGTAGAAAGTATTTACCTTCTAGCGGTTTAGATTTCAGAGGTGGTCCGAAATAAGAATTAGGCGCTAATGACGGTTTCTTATTGATCGATGGTTTCATTTTCACAGGTTTCACAGCACTCAATGTCTGCATATGTGGCGAGTATTGAGCTGCTAATGGTTTAGGTTTTACCGGCATCACATGGTTTCCATTTTGAACTGGCAGATGCTGTTTATCTGTTGCTGATTTACTTTGTATAGGTTTCCCAATATTAGCATTTTCTATTGGTTTCGATGTTGAGAAGAAATTTGCAAATGGTGGTTTAACAAATGCAATGGGTGGATCTATTTCTTTCAGATGAATTATATATAACCCAACTGCTGGACTCAACTGACCAATGACCTCGAAGTAAGAGCCGGGTTTTAAAATGATTTCGTGCTCTGCGTTTTTGAAATAAGAATGCGATTCTACTGACTTCCCATGTTTACATTCAATGGAGAACAAAGTTCTTGTACCATGTTTGCCCAAAAATTGATGAGATTCGAGGATATCGATACTTCGTGTGCATGAACTAACACCCCACCAAACAATCTTCTTTCCTATGGGATACTCAGGACTCAAATTAACATCACGTATGCCACGCCATATTGTCTGGGCACACGAAGGAAGCTTGTAAAGAGCTGTGAGAAATAATTTCAGAAAGGGAAACCATGGTGTAAGTTTTCTTCGGTTTTCGGCTCGAAGAGCTTCATTAAGGGACTTATATAAACTAGGTTCGATGCCGAATTCCATTGTATATAGATGAATTGACGCTGATTCATCTTGACTGAGACCATTTGCTGGTTGTTTGCAGTTCTCTTTAGCTACGTATACATAATCTTCGATGTCATCGAAAACGTTTGATATATCAGACACCGCTTTTTCTAACGGCACAAGAGGCATAATTTCGTAGCCTTTGATGGGCGAAAGCATGTGTGTTAAGGGTTCGTCACGCAGGTCGGTATAACGAGAATTTCGAAGTTGTTTTTGACGTTGCAATTTTTTTTCCGTCATTCTAAATCGTAAAGGACAGCTGCAATATCTAGAAGTAAGCCACATTATAAAACATCCATGTAAGATATCCCCTATGCGCGTGGCAAGTTAAATACATTACATGTGTTCTCATTTGTGTGGGATGCAGACGAAAAAAAGGAACTTCATCACTATAGCGAATATGTGCGGATGTCGGCTCGTGTCGGGTGGATGTGGATCAGAAGAATTACATACCGACGTCATACCCAATCACACTCATATACCACATCCACCCAGAGCCGCATTCACATCTACAGGCGCCCATACACACGCCCAAACCCGTATCCACGGTCCAATTGAGTCTCCTCATACTTACTCTATGAAATTACCAAGTAACATATATTTACTGCCAAAAGGAAGGATATAAATCATTGCGCACCACATACAGAAGAAGAGACATCTGTGTATGTAATGCACATAAAAGAAATTTCTAGGCTTCCTAGTTCTATGAATTTATCTTCTAATGTATATTTAATTGCAGTCATAAAGAAAAATATGCATCCATTACTAATCATGACTCATGTGGAAAAAGAAAATAGCTTTTTGTGTGCATAATATAGTCATAAGACATTGTACGTTTTCTTACCTGATTTCTATTGCAAAACTTAGAGTCCAGTACTAATGATACACAGCATCGATAACAAGCACGGTGAATGTGTCAAAAAACAGTTATGTAGCAAAAACGTATGGGTGTGACTGTTTGTGGTTTACACCCACAGCCGCAAACCGCTGGATGCTTACAAGTAATTTCTATCTGGTCGTGTACAAGAAAAGGAGAGAGATATTCTGTCACAGAACTGTTTTTTGGCACATTCACTGTGCTTGTTACCGATGCTGTATATCATTGGTACTGGACTCTGAGTTTTGCAATAGAAATCAGGTAAGAAAATGTAAAATGTCTTACGACTATATTATGCACATAAAGAGTTGTTTTCTTCTTGCAGATGGATCATGATTAGTAATGAATGCATATTTTTCTTTATGACTGCAATTAAATATACATTAGAAGGTAAATTCTTAGAACTAGGAAGTCTAGAAATTTTTTTTGATGTGCATTATATACACAGATGTCTTTTCTTCTGTATGTGGTGCGCAGTGATCCATATCGTTTCTTTTGTGAGTAAACATATATTACTTGGTAATTTCATACAGCAAACAGGAGGAAATTCAATTGGGAAAAACCCACACTTTCAAATTATATTTAGGAGCAGAAAAGGGTTTTTCTCGGAGTCATCTCGTTGATTACATTTTACTTAAATTCGGCAACATTCGTTATTTGAATTTGAAAGTAAGCACTAAATGCTCGTCGCTAATCAATATTGAAATAAAATTTGAATTTATTTTCAAAGTGAAATAACTATTTGAGCATGATATCAGTAGAATTTTTTCAATCGAATCTTTCTATCTTCAAGGCACACGGTTATAAAAAAGAGATGTTCTTCCAGTAATACATGATGAACAATAGTAATGAAATTATTCTGTTGATTCAAAGGCAACTGTGGACGCATAGTTTGGTATCAGACCAAAAGCTTTTTCATAATGGATTTAATTAATATCTCGAGTAAAATGCCATCTCATATAATACTGTTTATAGGAGTGCCATATTCCCAATTGTGTTACTGCTATCCATTTCAAGAGAGAAAAAGTGTGAGTATTTTCTGAATAACTTGATAGAAATTAGATAGAGAAGTGCGGTTTTCGCCGTTTGAAAGATATGAAACGGCATCGAATCATTTATACTAGACTTTTCTAACAAGTTTTCTCAGAGTCTATCATCAAGTTTATTAAACACAGAAGATTGTTTAATGTAAAAGTTTTACGATCTCAATTTTCAGGAGTCTACTAGAATTATTAACTGAACATCTATAAATTCTGGAAGTTCAATGTTGTAAACTTTAGTCAACCATGAGTTATACACATTTTACAGCATGTTATCGGCAGATTTTTAATAAAAAATCCATCTTATAAACTTATTCAAAAGCGTGAAGTTTTTGAAAAAATGGCGAGAGACTCTGAGAAAACTTGCCAGAAAAATCTTATGCAGCTAATTCAATGCAGTTTCATCTCCTTTTTTTAACGTTAAGAACCGCACCTCGCTGTCTAGTTTCTATCAAAAGTTATGCAAAAAGTACTCATTCTTTTCCTTTTTGAAATGGGTATTAGTAGCAGCTAAGCGGCAGATATTACCACTTATCAGTAAGGTTTATGTGGTACTTCTTAACATTAACCAGATTAGCGGTCGGTGATACTTGCAGTCAAGTGGTAAGTAATTTACATTTAGTTGCATGCAATCTATATAC